CGGTAGACCGCGAAGAACGCAGAGAATAATATCTTGTTCAGAAATTTCTTCATGAGCCAGTTTTAGAGACGACACAATCGTGAGAACAGTGTCCAAATAGGATTGCATCGAATCGGTCCCTTTAGTGACACCATGTAGTCGCTCCTTCAGTTGAAAAATATGAGTTCGGGAAAGAGAATTGTACCGTTGTTCTAGATGATTCCAAATTGCAGCCGAGGTGGGAAGAGCATTAATATGTGTTTGAACCGTGGGTGAGACAATAGCAAGGAGACAGACCCGAATTTGAGCATCAATAATATTCCAGGATTCATAGGCCGGATTTGGTTTCATAACCGGCGGTTCATCCTTGCCAGGTGCCGCAGCCTTCTCATCAAGGACAAAAGACGGAGGAGATGGTTCAGACCCATCCACATAGCCGAGAAGACGATGAGCGAGAAGATTTGCACGGACGGTAGCCGACCAAGAGGGATAATTGGTGTCATCAAGCTTGACCGGGGTGAGAGATTGAAGATTCCGGACAAACAACTTGAGACCCGTAGGAAGACGATCCATAGGATCAGACGAGGAAGAGGCCATGGCTGTGCACGGCGTGATCGACAGTGGAGGAATCGGCTCTGCCGATTTTTTTCGGTGATTAGCGCAGCAAAGGAAGAGAGAGGTTAGGATCTTTGTGCTCTGATACCATGTTGATTTAGTAATCCAACTCAACTGAATAATTGTATACATGGGTGTTTATATAGGTGAGGATCCCTACATGAATTAGGATTCACCAAATATGTAAACTAACATAAATAACACTTCTACCATAACTACACTTCTTGCCATATATGCCTAACAGAATGCGTAATGCTAAACAAATTAAATAGATAATGCCAACTTTGACATTGTATAATGACATTCCTGTTAATGTATAATGAAAGATATGCCAATGTATAATGTTATATTGTTACAATTCTCGTACGGATTACAACGGACGGGGAAGATGAACAGCCTCGAAAATAAAAAATAAATAAAATTCTGAATTTATAATTTATCCAGAATATTACAAAATAAACAAAGTTGAAAATAAATTTCTATATTTTCAAAAGGCCTTGTTGTATGAGGACATTATGCACTGGACATCGAGGACATTATGCACTGCACAGCAAGGACGTTATGCACTGGGCTGCGAGGACATTATGCACTAGGGCAGAATGCAGTAAGGTCTGTATGAACTAAACTTGCAAAACAAAACACCGTGAAGGACAGCGGAGTCGCCGGAGCTGTCCTTAAGGTAGTAGTGCCCGCCTACCGTACTGGAAAAACGTGGGTACTCTCCTCCCAGGATAAAACCGCTATCGTGTGTGGAGATTGTACGCACCAACCACACACAAACGAACAAGAACAACGTAGGAACGTTGGCGACCAAAAACTTTAAAGGGGATAGCCAGAAAATTTAGTCGGTAAATCAAGAGCCCTCTCTAAATATTAAAACAAGAATGTTTTCCCTTTCTGTTTTTTTCTTTCTCACGTAAGGCACACAAGAAAAAATGGAGAGGCCTTTGATTTTTATAACTAAGGAGTTTAAAAAGTGTAACTCCTACACCATTAACCCTTAGTATTCATCATGGCATTTGTGGCACACTAATGGCGTGTTAATGGTGATTAATTAGCCATTAACACGTCCGTTACGCTACGCTCCGTTTAAAATTTGTCCCGAATAATTGGAGATTAATGGCCAGTTAACTCCGTAAAAATGGACTAATTTTAAACAATACGTAAAATTAATAATAGAAGATTGGTTCAGTAAAATTGCAAAAATTGCAATCCTTACCATATTCTTTTATTGACGGGTTAATTCTGAGAATCAATTTCTCATTCACCTTCTACCATTTTTGATGTATAAATTATCAAAACATTTATCTCATTTAAGAGAACACACATCCATTAATTAACGGTTAAAACCGTTACTGGACCTATTGACAAATATACCCAAGTTGGTCTATTTAATGCCTATTAAAAATGCCAAAAATTCAAACAATCCCCCACATGAATGAAAATTGACTTGGGAGTCGACAACATCCCACGGTTGAAAACCTGCAAAGAACAGGTAAGTGTCTCCACTTTTGAACATGTCCATTGTAAAGTATACCTTCTTTACTGGCTGTTTAGTAGAACGCGATGTCTTTGAACTGTACTGCCGTTTGTGTAAACGATATGATCAACAAAATAAAATTATGTAGTACATATTTTAAAACTAATCAATAATTATACGAAACTAGAAGTACTAAACAAAAAAAGTAAATAAAGTTTGGAAGAGTTTTAGAGAAACCTCTCTTGAAGTACATCAAGAAATAAAAATAGGCACGCATAAACATTTAATACTTGTGCGAGATATTGAACATCTATGTATACTCATTTTTGTTTTAGGGTACATTTGGTGTAAATGGAGTGGGGTTACCAAACATAAAATGCGAGATGATCTCTAGCGTACGTGAAGGTGTCAAATTGAGTTGAAAGAGCTAGCTGGATATGATCAATAATTCATGGTAATAATAATGTCAGCCAGCCAGCTAGACCAACCATGCTTTATTCGTAGAGGGAATATTTGTACTGTACTCCATCTTCGTCCTCTCCTCCGAATGAGAATCATTTGTAGGGTCGGGAATAGGTAACGTTGAAATGCGTGTGTACGTAGTATGTGCATGTTGCTTTATCTTTTGAACTTCATAAAAACAAGTTATAAAAACAAGTATGGTAAATCTATTTCTATCTCAATATTTTGTGTTGGTGTAATGCTCGTTTTTGTTAACGCACCAACACTTTGTGTCAGCTCAGTGTAAATTTTTGTTAACGCACCAATACCTTGTGTTAGTGTAACCATCAAAATGTAAGTGCATAATTTTGTTGTACAAATGAAGTACAAATTTTGGAGTACATGTAGCATGCTCCAAACAAGTATGTTAGCTCCAATAAGTATACACTAAGTTATAACTCAAAGAGATGCACAAGTATATTAATAGTTTAGACTGACATAAATGCTAGTTCATTCAAAAAAATTGCACTAATATTTTGTGTCATTCTAAATCATGATACTAGCATTGTGCCAGCACAAAATATTAGTGTATACTTTCGGGATACAAAATGTGACAAAATGTGGTATAATTTTTAATTTGGATACAAATAATTTAATTCTCATAAAAATTTAAGAGCAACTATGATAGCCATAGGTGTACTCTAAAGGTTAAAGATTATATTCCTTCCGTCCTAAAATGATATTCTCAATTTGATTTATGAAGTTTGACTAAAATATTTTTTCAATTCAATTTATTTGATTATAAGTACTGTAAAATTTTAAAAATAAAATTATATGGAGTATATTTTAAATTACATCAAAAGATCTACAACACAAGAGGTGACATGATTATATTATTTTATCAAATAATTAACGGAAATAGATAAAAAACGATTAAAGCTTGACCATGTGAATAGTGACTGAGAAGATCATTTTATGATGGAGGGAGTATTTCAAAATGTAATTTTGAGATTTATATTTGTCTTTTTATGGCTTATATTCACAAAATCAAAAAGTTGGTTATTCGTAAAATTGTAATACTGACATTTTATGTTAATGTAAGCCATGTATCTCACAATTATATTACAAAGTAATACAAAATGTAAGATCAAATCTTTAAAATTCATTTTGAGATAATATTTTATAGTACCAACTACTAAAAGTAGATTTATCCATTAAAGAAATGAAAAAGTGCATGTTAGTTGGTAAACATAAAATAAGGAACCATGCTACAATTACACCAAAAAATGTACCCCACTTGTACACCACAGCTTTGCACAGACATTTTGATGATTTACACCGACATAAGTGTTGGTGCGTTAACAAAAATGTACACAGACACAAATGTTGGTGCGTTAACAAAATATTAGTTTTACACCAACACAAAATGTTAGTGCAAACCTGCGGGGTACAATTTGTGGTATAAATATTGGGGTACACATAGCTTAATCCTAAAATAAGGGATGGGTAAGTGCACTACAAGAAAATATCAATATTGTAACTACACATTTGGTTGCATTTATTAATAATGTTGTTGCTAATGCTTATTGTAACAGCTTTTCTGTTGCAGTTCAACCGTTGCAGAAACCCTTGTTGCAAACGCACTCATCCAACAGAAGTTCAGTTCCAATGCTCTGCAGTGGACTTTGCAACAAAAGTATTGCAACAGACATTCCCTTGCTACATTTTGCAACGGTAACTACCGTTGCAACATATTGCAACCAAAGTTTGCAACTATATATTGATACGAATATCGTATCGGATAGGGAAGAACTTCGAGCGTTCTTCAAGCTCCAAGAAGAAGAGGTAGAGAAAGATGGAAAACTTCGAGCGTTTCCGAGCTCCAGGAGAATAGAGAAAGTGTAACGCCCTACAAACCGGCCTAATAGTTAGCCAATATTTTAAATAAATAAATATTATTTATTTAATGAGACTCATTATTTTTAATAATAAAAATAAAGATTTCGATCTCTTTAAATGGCTTTCCAAAGCTAATGTATTCTAATATAAAAAGATGTTTTAATAACGGACCTCTCAACATTAATTAAATAAATTAATTAATGATTGGGGTGGACCCGGAAGTTTGAAAATAAAGTTTTTAGAAAAATTATTTGAACATGTCATTGAACTCGTTTTGACTGTCTGATTCTGGAAACACAAACTGATCTCAATTCGGACCCGTTCGGGGGAAAAACCGCATACCGTTCAGCTCAGGTTTTACACAACGGAGTAAATTTTAGGGAGATAACTCCCCATCCAATCCTCTCCCACGCCACACTCTTCATCTCCCATAACCCCCCATTCATATCCCATCATAATTTCTCCATAAACTCCCATAACTCCTCATGGTTATAAAACTCCTCTTCCCCTTCATTTCTCTCATCATGTGTAACCTCCGCAAACCATAACACCCATCTCTTCCTCTCCCCTTGCATGTTCGACGAGGCCTTAGCAGCTCCAGAAGGTTTTCCGGCAAGTAGACGGGGAGGTAGAAGAGGAGAAGCTCACACGAGAAGTCGTACATTGTTCGTCGTTCAACCATTCATTTATTTGTTCGTTCATCGTCATCCATTCGTAGTTTCAACACATCATTTAGAGGTGAGTAGTTGTCCCCTCTAATTCTAGAACATTTAGTTATAATCTATGTCGTTATATTCATAGGAATATCGTACGCAACCTACGTAGAATCTATGCATGTTTGTAGGTTAGCCATCAAAACGTTCACTACGTAAAACTTATAAATATTGGTCTAGGAATCACTAGGAATATATTTATCAATGTTTGTATTATTGTTCTAAAAAGAATCAAGGTGTTAGGATTGCAAAATGGATCAAAACGTAGCCAAGGACAGAAGACTGTCACCGGGACGGTCGACCGTTACTTCAGACGGTGGACCGTACCCTCGGCCAGTCCAACGGTCACCGCCGGGACGGTCGATCGTCATCCATGACGGAAGACCACGGTGGACCGTCTGAGACCCAGACCCCAGACCATAGCCCACGGTCGACCGCCGGTAGGGTACGGTCGACCGTTCCGCAGGCAGAATTTCAGGTAGTTTGTAGAACGAGCCCTATTTGACCAGTTTGACTCAGAATCTGATTGTGTGTTTGCATGAAATGTTAATATTCATTATGTGTGTTATTTAGTTGATATATTCTTGGCGTTGACCAAAGTTAAATACATCAAGCATTCATCATGTTCATTCTAGACGCATGTACTAGGATCATCATCATGTGCATACCGCTGTAGGGAGGTCAGGATTTCGTGCGCCTACTATAGTGGGCCCGTCCAGGAACCTTTGGGATCCAACGGGTTTTCATCAGGTGGGCTTTGTGTACGTACATGGTAGTCAGGCTACGGCTACCACCCGGTTTTTGCTAGTTCACTTGCGACGTTTTGTCGAGCCCGGGCCATTACCGGAGTGCAGGGGTGATCCTGTCAAGTGAGACTAAGTCAGGGGGTGTCCCTAATAGCTTAAGTCATGCATCGTCAACATTCAAGGTGGTCATCATCATCATGTATGTTCCACATCACACCATCATTCAATGTGGTTGTTATTCATTTTGTTATGTGTAAAAAATATCCCATCAGGTGCAAATTAAACAGTTAGTAAACATGTGATTTTCTGTACGTTAAGTACAGGTATTAATATGTGTATAGCCATATGGGTTATCACTTTATGTTCTTTTGTTAGATTTACTCCTCAGCTTATGCTGAGCGTGTAGTTGTTTTTGCTACACGCAGGTAGACATGACGGTGCGGATGCTAACCCTGGAGGACAGCGATGGTGGGAAGATGGGCGGCGCATGGACAAGTTCAATAATTAAATACATTTAATTAATTAATCATTTGGGCATGAACCCACCATTTGTCGTTTTACTTATTTATTTACTTCCGCTTTTACTCTGCATTTATGTCACACATGTTTTGCAAATAACTTCCTATCATTTATTTCATCAATTAAACCCAACCGTTACATAATAAATAGACTTTAATGCATTTTTTTCTCTACGGACGGTTCTCGGACCGCCCATGTAACCCTACCGGTCCATTGGGTCGCGGGTGAACCGGGTCCGCGGAAGGCGGGTGTTACAGAAAGAGATTAGGATTTGATTATTCTTTATTGATTGAATAATAATAATAATAATATGAGAGTACAATATATAGAGATACGAGAAACCCTAATTAACCTAATGGGCTTGGATCCCATACTAAAACCTAATCATGAGTACCTATATAACACTACTAATTAATAAATACTAATTAAATAATATAATTCATCTTCTGTATCATTCCCACCCCCTTAGAAAGCCACCTTGTCCTCAAGGTGGAGGCTCCCACTCGTGCTTTACGACCGGAGAAAGAATGTTGAACCAAATGAACAGTCCACTCTTTAAATCTTCAACCACCTTGGCTCTTGCAGCAAAGTGATGGAAAAATGAGACAGGGCACATAACATATATAGTTGGCCTCGGTGAAACCAGGTGCTCCGTCTTGACCACATCGACAATGTCAAACAACTTAATGGTGTCAATCAAAATTGGTGAGCGCGCTTGTTTACCATCTGCATCTGTCTCTTTGGCAACACTTTTTGGAAGATCATACTCTGCAATGACCACACAAGCTGAGATATAACATTCCTGAAAAGAAGAATCTAGCTTGTCGACATTAGCAACATCTTCTGCAAGAGGACCTTCATTTTTGTCCACAACGTTGGAACTCCCGTTATCTTGGTTTATGGCTCCAGGCCCAATGTCCACTTGATCTCCAACTTGTGAGTCAATGCTTGATTCCTCCATGGATGATTGATCATGTGCTTCAGCATTTTGCTCAATTACTGTAGAGACCAGATTTGGCGCAGAAGATGGAGTATCGATGAGAATTTTTATAGCGCACAACATATCTGTTCTAAACTTTTGTAACTCCCAAGAAATCAAACTCGGAAAAATTGGGGGCCCACGGACCAATTCCTTGTATCGCGCAAGAGATTTCAATGTCAAATGTGTGCAAGTCAGAATCATAATTTGATTGACCTTTAATGTGACGAAATGATTAGAGATTCTTTATAATTTCGTCTATGTGATCGTAAAGTGCACACACTTCCTTGTCATGCTCAAGATCTCCATATAAAACCATCTCTAGCAAATTAATAAGTTTGTCGAGTGCACAAGTACACATAAGCAAAGTCTCTAATCGCTTGAATCGGGTCTCCAACCGAAAAGAAAAATCTTGATGCATTTTAGTCAAAGATTGAGTAAAGGTATTCATTTTTGAATTACCGTACCAAGGGCTAAACTCCCACTGCTGCTTTGTATTCAATTGTAGCGTCCAAACTTGATGAAGTAGAACACAATTTACTGCAAAATTCTTGTGCTGCTTCGATATGATGAGTGGGCACGACGCAGACTTGCTTGAGGGGTGCATCAATTTCTTTTCCAAATGGCCAAACATATCCTCTACGCGGATATGTTTTCTTTTATTCACCAACTTGTTCAATTAAGGATGCAAAGGACGGCTATTTTTCGATGTAAATCAGATCGATAACTTGGAGCGATTGATCTGATCTCGAAGAAAAAAAATTAGGTTGCTTTTTTTTTGTGGTTTTTTTTGGCGAGTTCAAGCAATGAGATTACCAATTGATACGAATATCGTATCAGATAGGGAAGAACTTCGAGCGTTCTTCAAGCTCCAAGAAGAAGAGGTAGAGAAAGATGGAAAACTTTGAGCGTTTCTGAGCTCCAGGAGAATAGAGAAGGAGATTAGGATTTGATTATTCTTTATTGATTGAATAATAATAATAATATGAGAGTACAATATATAGAGATACGAGAAACCCTAATTAACTTAATGGGCTTGGGTCCCATACTAAAACCTAATCATGAGTACCTATATAACACTACTAATTAATAAATACTAATTAAATAATATAATTCATCTTCTATATCATATATTCTGTTGCAAAAAAAATTCTACGGAAAAAGTTCAACAGCAACTCCATTGCTAATGTTTGCTACGAAATTTTTTTTATTCTCAACAAAAATTGGTAATGTATCAACTGCAACAAAATGTTCCATTGCAAAATTGAAAAAAAAGTGTACGACATAGTGCTTGTTCAATTTTATACCAACTTAGAAGTCATTTCTATGCACAATCTATATATATATGGTGAATACTCAAACACACATGTATTCAACAAAGCCAAAATTTCAATACTATTCATAAAGTAAAATAACCTTCATATACTTGTTTGTTGGGCGGTTCCCATGACATTGACCGGTAATGTCATGGGATGACCCGGAGGCGCTCTGGTGTCCCGTTCGTAAAATTGATAGTTCCTTCCCCCCCCACCCCCCCACCCCGCCTCGACCTGAAAACACCCCCTCCCCATTCAATTTCACCCCAAGTTAATTTTGACATTGGAGTCAATTTTGATTCCAAAGTCAAAATTAACTTGGGGGTACAATTGAAGGGGGTAAGTGTTAGCCTTGGTTTGTTAAGCCTCGTATTTCGATTTTAACAAACAATATAAAAGGCTATTTTAAGGGGGTGAGTGGTAGCCTTGTGTTTGCTCTTTTATTCTTAATTCTTCATATTTTGGCTATTTTAAGAGCCTAATTCTCCAGATTTTTATACACACACTTTGAGCTTGTGTTTTAGTTATATACTCTCATATTCATAAGTGTATTTTGTATCTTTTGAGAGGGTATAATTTTCCTTCTACACCGTCTAAAGTTTTGTTCTTCAATTTTGTATTCAAGCCATTGTGTTGGTACATTTCTTGTGTTCTTTAAACATATCTTTTTAAGTTCGAGAATAGCTGTTATATTCTCACGTTGTAACGGTCAGGGATAGCCGTATAAATCCTTGGGTAAAGGTTGAAGGATAGCCTTTGAAATCCTTGGGGGTACGGTAGAAGATAGTCGTTAAATGTTCATTGTTAGCGGTTCGAGATAGCCGTTGTAAAATCTCGGAGTGAATCCTATTGGCAAGGGTTGTTTGCCAAACTTGTGTGGTGCTTTGATGGAGTTCAAGAGACCAGGATTTAGTGGATTCGGAAATCCTTGAGGAGGAGCCTCAAGGTACTGGTGAAGGAAGTTTTCGAACTAGTATAAAATCGGTGTGCATTTTATTTACGCTTTTATTTTGCGTTTTATTTATTACCTTCACATTTGCCAACACCATTTTTATCTTACTCCGAAAAACTTTTAAACGCCTTATTCACCCCCCTCTAAGGCGTGGGCAGAATGACTAATAGTGGGGGTGTGTTCGGGTCAGGGCAGGGTGGGGGGATTTACTGAGAGGGTAGGGATCGTCAAATTTACGAATGACCGTAGTGCTCCCGGTTCACTTGACATGGGGTTCCAATGTCATGGGAACTTCTCAGACTTGTCAAACATCTAAATAATAATATCTGATCTATTGTTGCACATTAAAATAATTAAACATTCGCTAACATAAATGTTCCCTTCCGTCTCCGTCAGGTCTTTCTTCTCTACGGGGTAAATGGTCTCCAAACAAGTTATGCATCTCTTCTAGGATTGTTTGCGCACTGGGTTCCCATGGAAATTGGACTATATCCCCCTTGAGAGCTTGCATCACAAAGGGTTGAGAGATAGCATATGATTCAACAGCAAAACTTACACTTCTACGATGACATTTGAAAGATCTCTCACGAGGCATAGTCCTTGACATCTTTCCTACCCCAAAGACATGTTTTTTAGGATCATGTCCATCAATGGAGTAGTAGTACAACTCCTCCTTGGAGGCTTGAACATTATCCTTTTGTGTGATCTGCTCCATTGCATAAAATGTTGCCTTCACACAATATTATAGTCTTAGCATAACAAACATATGTATTATAATGTATGTGCACAAATGACTAACTTATCGCTACTTCCTGGGACTTGTCATCAACAAATGTCACTTGATCGTGTTTATCTGTCTTTGTTCGCAAAAAAGTACGAATGAGGGCTCATTTCTCTCCTCTAGTATTTATCTATATATAGAGTTAATTAAGAAATTGAAGTTCACATGTTATATATTATTAACATATGAAGCTAATCTTATCATTTCTATTTCTTACTTCTTACCGCATTTGTGAGATTTTCTCGAAATGACAGGAACCTGCGTATATTCCTGTGGCACACTTATCTAGGCTACCTTTCCAGCTATTTTTTTCCCTTGTGATTTTTTCTTAGATTCATTAGTCCCCCAATCCCGTAAGTTCTGAAGAAAAACATTCATATAAAAATATGTCCAATTGTCTAGTGAATACATGGCAGAGATGGGTGTTGAAAGAAGAAGAAGAAGACATAATGTTGTTTTGTTAATTCCTTTTCCTTGGGTATGAGAAAAAACCCAAGCCTGTCCAAACATTATGGGAGACCCTCTGCAATTTATTAATCAGAATAAAAGTTTGGAGAAACTGAAATACAACAAAAAGATATTTTCCTCATTCAATCATCTACTCCATATTTCTTTCTCAACTCAAGTACCCATGGAATGAAAAACTAATTTAGTAGTTAGATGTTTTCCATGTTGACAATTAAGCTTATGGAGGACAAAGGATAAGAGAATATTTGTAATACCCCAATTCGTATAACCTAGAATTATAGGAATTAAGGTGAAACATGAAAAATATTTTTAAAACCTTTTAAAAATAAAAATATATAAAATTCATAAAACAAAACTTCAAAGTACAGCATACTAAATTGGGATCGTTGTTTTTACAAAATGTCGGAGATAACAGAAGACTTAAATAATACAAATACAACGATGTGGGTCAAGCCCAAAACCTCAAATGCAATACTTGTGAAAATCATGCATGTTAACCTGCCATCCTATCGTCTCTTTGTCCTCAGGGGGTGTTTCACATAACCTGTGCTTCAATCTACGTGTAGACAAAATGACTACACGCTCAGCATAAAGCTGAGTGGTACCATAACGCGAGAGATCGATAACATATTTATACTAAAACACCACGCATCACATTGGCCACATAATTTTCATGGTTGCATAGTAGATAGCACAAGATACAAGATACACGTATACATATCAAGGAGATTCATTTTGGAATGTTATCCAAATATAAATACACATGCCTTGTCGTCAACGATGTTGGATATGAAGTGTAATATGTTTTCACATATCGGAGTCGTCCATACTTATAAATATAATCAAGATGTTTGTTCATAATGATGGGTCAATATGAATGACATGAATCTAATAGTCATATTCTCACATGTACTAATGTACGGAATACCACATAGAGCCACTCCTGGTAGCCTTCCCAGGGGGTCACCCATCCCTCTCACTACTCCAGCAGCAGCACGCTTAACTTTTCTAAAAATCCCCCAAAGTCGCCCTCTCTGGGGATCGAACTCGAGTCGTAAGGATCCCCGTTTAAGCTTTAGACCATCTCACCAAGGGGGATCCTTATATATATATATATATATATATATATATATGTATATATATGTATATGTATATGTATATATATATATATATATATACATACATACATATATATATATATATATATATATAGAGGAAGGGGTGGCTTATCTCAAGGTATGAAGGAGCCCTCACCACTAAATTCCACTGGGATTCAAACAATTATGGTGAATTTGTTATGCTCAGTGGGGGATTTGAGATGGACATGTCTAGAATTTGCATCCCAGTAGGTTCCAAAAATGCAGGAATAAACATCTTCATCAAAAGTATGAAGGAAGCTTTGAAACTATGTGGGGAGTCTGAGGTAGGGGATAAGACCAAGACCTATGTTAGACGTGAGGAAAAAGGATCAGTTTCTATTACTTTTGAGAATGATTTTAAGGAGCTACAGGCCCAGGGAGGAAAGGAAGATCAGTTGGTGCAATCTATTTCTTCAGAGCTGTTTGAGCAGGACATTGCCTTGGCGGAAAGGGAAGTCATAATACCAGAAGATGGTTCTTATACTGTACCAGAGGAAGAAATGATGATACAAAGGCTATTTCAAGCAGCCTTTGATGCATATTTTGATACCGTCTTCTCAGCAGTAGTGTGCCAAATCAAAGAGGCATTAGCTAAGAAATTGGTGTTGGAAAAACTCAAAATGGGTCTAGTTCACAACATGTCGGGGAAGACAATGAGAGCAACTCGAGAAACAGTAAAAAGCGTGGAGAAGGTGCGAATGGCCCAAATAGAAGGATCTAAATTCCCAATTTTCATTTCATTTTGCAGAGCTGATGAACAGCTGGTTGCCGAATTCCTCTCAGGAGATGAGGGTGAAGATCCCCCAATTAGCTCCGTTTAAATCGGCTCATAATCTGAGTTGCTGGGCTTAGCTTTTGTTATAGTTCTACTATGGCTTTTGCTTCTTGGATTGCACTGATGATAGTCTTAGGTCTGGTGTGTCTCTTGTTGCTTTGGTTATTCGGTCTACTCTTGAATCAACAATTTTGCTGCCTTATTATTCGGTCTTCTCTTGAATCAACAGTTTTGCATACTCAAGCTTTGATGAAGAATGTAGGGTAGTTCATTTGGCTCCTCTACCTTGATGTCTTAACATACTTGAGCTGGTTTTTTGGTTCTCTGGGTATGTTCACTGCCTTCGGTCAGTTTCTTAGGCTCGTATGGTTTTTGGGGCTTTTCTTTTTCACTTAAGGAGAACTTTTCCAAGTTATGCAGCAGCTTTTGTGGAACGGGCTCTGTTGCTGTTTTGAAGAAGGCTTGAACAACATGAACTGTCGGGCAGCAGGTTGGGGGCCTCCTACGGGTCTGTCTCCTTGTGTTCACATGCTAATAATTGGAGTCTTTGAAGATCCACTTTTGGGGTTGCATTTGTATTTCAATGTTTTGTACTTTAGTTTTTGTAGACTCTATGTCGTCTCTTTCTTGGTCTGTTTTTGCTGGTGTATTCGGTTTTGAGGAGCTTTGGCTTGGACCCCTCCTCTTGTACTTGTTTGCCTTCTTATTAATAAAAAACTATTTAAATTAATATATATATATATATATATATATATATATATATATATATGGGCCGATTCAGGTGAGAATGCACCTTGGTAAAAGAAATAAGAATAAAATATAGCCTTTGGATCGGATGCATCGTGCGGCTCAGATTGCATCCTGCATTCAGATTTTGAGATAGTGCATTTTTAAAGAATTTTGGTGCATTTCGACATGATGCATTTTCAAACCATTTTGGTTCACCTAATTTTGATGCAATCCTGACCCTTAGAAGTTAGATCTCACAATCTAAAGCACCAGATTCATTCTTATTTCTTTCATAAGATCGCATTCTCACTTGAACCAATATATATATATATATATGTGTGTGTGTGTGTGTGTGTGTGGCAATTAATATATGTATATATATATTATATTGAATATTTTATGAAAATAATTATTTTGACATAAACTATTTAAAGTATATTTGTATACTTGTTTAAAAATGATATTGGTATTTTTATTTGACTTAAAATTAATTTTATATTAATTTTTTGTGTCAAATAAAATACACTTTGAATATTTAAGTGGAGAAGTATTTTTAAAATCCTTCTCACTTTCTCATATCAATCTTTGGGCCATGTGATGATCAAAGGGTGAAGTTTTGTTTGATTTTGTATTTTAAAGATAAGGAAAATTTCTTAAATTGTCATTTAGTGAATCACTAGTCCACTTTAAAGATTGGTTTTTCACAAACCACTTTAAATGATTTTTGTGAAGCAAAATTTTGGCCACCATCATTTCTTGAGAGAGAAAAATTCTATTGTGTTCCATTAATATCATTTTGTGTGTTGAAAATATCTATAATATTTTCTAAATATTATTAGAAATATTTCCTATAGAAATATACAAGATTATTATTATCCCAAATTTTAATCTTTATATTTTATACTACTATAATCTTTACTAGCATAAAGATTGTGGTAGACTCTGGCGTTGTTCGTGTGTCAAAGTTGGAGACCGGACGCTTGAACGTTTACGTTTGCACTTTCAACGCTCTTCCTACGACTTCTTCATTTTTACCCCTTCTGGAGAAAGGTATAAAATTTCTTACTAATATAAGTTTTAGTACGTGATTCTGGGCAAGATAATCATGTTAGGATGTTAAAATTTTTATATTCCGCTGCCTATCCTTGCATGGTTACCTTTCAGTAAGAGGGATGAAAAGCCGTGGCAATATAGGTTGGGACACCTACATTACAAGGATTTGATAACTTTGTCAAATTCTGGAGTTGTGAGAGGTCTGCCAAAAATCACCAAACATAAAGATGAAGTGTGTGATCTATGTCAAAAAGGGAATCAACTCACTACGGCAAAAACAGTATCAGACGACTGTTGATTAACTACTGTTTATGGAAACACAGTAGTTAAAAAACAGACTACTGTGAGTTTTTCTTGGCTGCCGAACAGTAGTCTAGCTATTATGCTTTAAAACTGTTTTTAAAGTTTCGAGAAACGGTAATCTATCACTAGTTGTATGTGTCAGTTCAAAATATAGTTTTTTGTTACAACAGTTGTCAATAACAAGTTAAGAATACTTTATTTAAACAGTAGTCTAGTGTTCTAGTCTAGAACTATTTTTAAACTTATTAGAAACAGTTATCTATTGCTAGTTGTCTGTTTCATATGGTTTTTTTGCCACTGTTGTTTCTATTGGGAATAGAAGACTCTTTTGTAATAGTAGTCTATAAACTAAGGGTAGAACTGTTTTAAAAATTGTGAGAAATAGTAATCTTTTATTAGTAGTCCGTTTCATCTAAAAATACATTTTTTGTTGCCACAGTTATCAAAAATTAGTTAAAACTACTATTTCTAAACAGTGGTCTGGTTTTTCATTTTATAACTGTTTTAAACTTATAAGAAATAGTATTCTTTTGTAAGTTGTATGTTTCGTATGGTTTTGTTTTGCATAGTTGTTTATTATAAAAATAGAAGATTCCCTTGTAACAGTAGTATATTTATATAGCGTAGAACTATTTTTAAAATTCATATAAACCGTAATCTATTACAAGTTATCTATAATAAATTAAGAATACCCTTTTTAAACAGTAGTTAGACTATTAAGCCTACAACTATTTTTAAAGTTTTGAGAAACCGTAATGTATTACTTGTAGTGTGTGTCACACCGTTTTTTTTCACGGTTATTCTATAATAAGTAAAGAAAACTGTTTTTAAGAAAATTGTGCGTATTAAGCCTAAAACAATTTTAAAAGTTAAAAATACTCGTTTTAAACAGTAGTCTAGCACTTAACCCTAGAACTATTTTAAAATGGTAATCTTTTTCGGACAATATATGTACAACAATCAAATAAACATTGTTTCAAACAATTATATGGACATGAAAAAATAAAACTTCCATTGAAACGAAAGAAAAATACATGCACAAGCTGGGTACTGTCTCGCTACACACAAAGGGAATTGGGAATCCATACAATCAATCAATCTCACATCATGAAACCAAAAAATAATAAGAAGATGGCGAGATGCAAATAAGAGTACACAAAATTTATTAAAAACAAAACTAAGAGTACATTGGCTTGCTTCAATCCAAAGTAGAAAACAAACAAAACACAAAGATTGAAACTCCATATTCTAAAATTACTCAAATTAAAGAATAAAGACCAAATCTTCAAGGTAGGAGTGCCAATTACACAAAGATTGGTTCTTAGCCATGGTTTTACTCTCCCCAATGACTTAAGCTTGACCCTTTGCCTTTGTGGAAGAGGGAACAACATCATCACCCCTCTTAGTCAAGGTAACTGTAAATTATTATTACCCAAATCAAACAAGTACATCAAAGTCAAATGCTTAACCATGATAATTGTTACATGCATATGAAAGAAATTACAAGCCCAACTATTCTAAAAACAAATATTACAGAACACCAAACAGAAAAAACATTACATAACACAAAGTCACACAGAGAGTTACACCGCAAACAAACATCACAAAGCATGAGTAACAGATCAATTCATTCCTTTTCATTCCTTCCTTTTCTGATTTATAGTGATTCCTTAGGAGATATCCTTCAAAGTGAAGTGCAGGCAGGAGTATTTCATAACTTCAGTTCTGGTGCAATACAAGAGAGATAAATACCACAAGGGAGGTATCAAGGTTTCCAACTATGGGCAGTAGTATGTTCATTGGGCAGCATCCATTTTCATGGTTAGGCACATGACATAATGTACTTGTTCAACCATCAAACAAGGATTCCAGGAGCATCATGTAGATATCAAGACTCAATCCATTTAAGGGGCAGTAGTGTAGGTGATGGAACCATGATATTGGTCAATCACGTTAGAGAGACAGTTCTAGGTCACAATCTAAACTAATCAAAGAGGATCATCAGTAAGGTGCAACATATGCGAGCAGTTCCATCTTGGGCAGAAGAGGCATCATCACATATTCATTTTCTCAAGCAGTTCCATATTGCAGGTAGTTGTATTTCCTCAAGCAGCATCCAAGTGGCAAGTGTTGTGTGAGTGGCAGCAGAATGAGGCAATCCACAGGTCAAAGCAAGCCTCCAGCAAGGCTCTAGGGTTTAAAGCATTCACAGGGTTGGTAACCATCAATGTGGTCCCACTTCATCAAAGGGTACCACGTCCCAGCTCTTGTGGAATCCACTTCCAACTTCCAATACCATGCATCATCTCGGCAATAGTACAGTCGGAAAAGCAAGTTTGATCAGGCTCAAAGACCTCCAAATTCCATCAAAATTAGCTTTCTCACTGCCCATACATCAATGGCAGCATCAAATCCATGGTGTTGAGGAAAATCCTATCACTGTCCAGCCGGCAATCACCCAAATACCACAACAAAGAAGCAAAATCCACAGTGTAGTCAAACTGGCAGTCCTTCCCACTGGCGTAGTCCATCCAAGGCATAACAGGCACAAGGTTACTAGTTCCCCCCTTCACATCAACTTCGAAATAAAACACAAGCAAATGTCATGGTTCGAATCAGTCCCTACCTCATGCAAATGAGGTAAGGTTGGACATATTTGAGTCTACAGGAGGTTGAGGAAGAGGTGGAATTTGCACCAAGACCAGCATACACGTGGAGTAGTTCCAGTAGGAAGGCAATGCTAAAGAAATCCAGCAAAAAACAGTCCCAAGACCATCATACCAGCAAGTTTAGTTGTTAGAAAACCACAAAGCAACATTCAAGACAAAGTCGTGCAAGGAAAGAAATGAAGAACATGGTCACAAAGCAAATTCATGATGCACGGTCAGTTTATAGCTCCATTACAGACCCCATTTGATTAGTATTACCCTCAAACAGCCAAGCAAACACCAGCCCAAGCAATAAAGGCTAGACCAGAAAATGGCCCTTGAATCACAAACACATTACCAGAAAATGGGATGGAAATTGAGCAAAAAGCATGGGTAAACCTGGACTTGAAGAACTCGCTGTGAACAGTGACTCCGAGTCCAAAATTTTTGCTCAATTCGCAGCTTCCTTCAACTGGTTTGGAAAACCAATTTTAAGTGTTGAAAGAGCATCCCAAGTCGCCCATAATCCCCCAAAAAGTGGCCTTCAAACGAGCTTGAACCGAGGTGAATTGAACCTTCAAGAGTCGTAGATGAACCGTAACTCGAGAATGTTGACCTGCGATTCTTGCTCAATCCAGCGCCCAAAACGTCAAATTGAGCTGAAGAATGGATTGCCATGCCCAAAACGATTCTAGAGCTCTAAGCATTGGTCCAAAAATTCAACAAATTCGAAAGCAAGGGTTTAAGAACTTTTTCCGATTCCGGCGGGACCAATGTCATTCTCTTCGTCTTGAGACAAGGATCAATAATATCCAAACCATTTTGTCTAATTTGGCCTGTAACTTCTCGAATCTGAATTTTTCTACTCAAAAAACCCTAAAATTTGAAATTGGTTCCAAAATTGGGGGTTTTGCAAATCGTCATCAAATCTTGGAATTGAGGTGTCCTTGGAGGTCGCCCGGATGCCACGAACGCATTGTAGTGGATGCCCGCCGTCAATTTCGCCGGAGTTGGCCGGAAAACGCTCCGACCCGCCGGCGGGTCGGAAAAAAGTTCATTTTCCGGCGACTTTGACCGGCGGGCGGCGGCGGCGGGGCCTAGAAGAAAAGAAAAGAAGAAATGGGGTCAAATTGAAAATTTTAAAATATATAAAATTCGAATTTGGCCCTAATGACCGGAAGTTAACCTAGAAATGGGCTAATGGCTCATTAGTGAAAGGATTGTGTAAGTTCAGGGATTTTTGTGAAAGGATTTGAAGTTGAGGTACCACTTCGAAATTTCAGCTAAAGTTCAGGTACCATTAGTGAAATTTATCCAAGATAAAAGTTTTGACAAAAAAAGGAGAGGGAAGAAAATTTGGTAAAGGAGAGGAAAAAAATTTTGGCAAAGGAGGGAAAATATTAGGTTAAAAATTTTAAGTCCACAAAACCTGCACCCCAAAGTCATTGAGCCGCACTCACATAAGGAGTAGATGGGAGTTTCTCAGGGCATAAGAATGCTGGGCAGTAACTCGGATTATTGTTCAATGCCTTCTTCCCTTCGAATCTTCCATTTTTTTGTGGCTCTTCTTTGCACAATTTTTGGAACCCTGGATAGATATGACACTTGTGCAATCCTTTTTGTTTTGATTTATATCTACGTTCTCTCTTACTAAGTTTGCCGAGATTTCCTTCTTCCTGGCCATCTCGATCTTTTGTTCCTCGCCAGGTTTCGTTCGCCAACACCGTCTTTGTCGCCGGGTTTCGTTCGCCAACGCCGTCATGCATCGCAAGTTTGATTTCGCATGGTTTCAAGCCAAATTGTAGCCAAATTTATGAGGGATCGTGAGCGGCTTAAATGACCCACTAAGATTCCGAAGTTGGTTTCCATCTCCAATCCAAGATTCTTCAGTTTTGGTCAAGTTTGTGGCTTCGATGCACTATTCACGGTGCAACCTTTTACTGCCCAGGTTCTTGCGCATATTCTCTCCATTTTTGGTGATTCTTGGCTGTTTTCAACGGATTTTAATTATCTATATTTGGGTTTTAATTCAATATACTGGTGGTGAAACATTGATTATAAGATTTGTTATAAGAAAACATGTTTGGCAGTAGTTTTGTGCAAACGTATTTTAGAATTTGAAAACAAAAGTTGTGATACAAAACCATACTAGTGAATTTCATCTAATGAACACTTTTGGTCAAAGAATCTCCCAGAAGGAAAATGAGGCAAGGTCAGTATGTAGTATTTTCTATTCTCTCCTCATTTAGTGTATTTGGTTAAGATACTTAGAGTTTTTTTTTTCTTTTGAAAATTTATTTAAAGCAGTTGGAACTTTAAAAATCACCCTTTTGAAGAGACTTAATATGTGATTCAGGAGGTTATGACATGGAGGAGAAAGAAACAAGGGCATATGATCTTGTTGCTCTCAAGTATTGGGGGTCTTCAATCCATATTAACTCTCCGGTATGATTATATTTGATCCACTAGTTTGAAATTAAAACTTTATTTGTTTGTTAATATGCATTTTTAAGACGAGTTCTTTATGATGTTTCATTTTTCTACAATAGGAAAACTACTAAAAAGAGCTTGAAGAAATGAAGAACATGACTGGACCAGAATACGTAGCCCCATCAGAGAAGGTAATAATTTCCCATTCTTAAAGATGATGATGATAATGTTGTTCTTTATTGCTTTCCAATAAAATTCCTATGTGTTTAAGGAAAAGCAGTGGATTCTCTTGGGGTGCTTTGATGTATCGAGGGGTTACATGGCTCTTTATTTTCTTGAAGCTTTAACTGTCATCATACTTCTGTAGGAAATGTTATGGATTTTTGTCACTTATGGTCCTTTCCTATTTTTAATTTAATCCAGTTCAAAGAATTAGCATAAATACTCTCTAAAGATCTGATTTTTTCAAAAGTTACAATTTATGTTATTTGAAAATGAAACTTTTAAGTATAAGTGCTCTCTAAAAATCTGATTTTTAGCTTGAGATCCGAGTTCGACAGGCCCAATCAAGAGCTTTGCTGCTTTTGCCCTACACCTCTGAAAGGTTTTTTCGACACTATGATAAACATGAAACTTGATGAAGAGCCCAAGTACTCTAAGTTAATATCTCTTTTTTTTGTTTTTGAAGTCGTTCACTTGCTCGATCTCCTGCCGTTGGAAGATCTAGAACAATTGCAGCAGCAGCAACTGCTGTTGCTGGAGGAGATGGTGGTAAGCTGGCTACACCGGAGGGTAACCATTGATTGTCTGAGTTGCTGCGGCAGCCGCCAATATTGCCTGTTTTCCATTGTTTTTGGCAAAAAAAGAGTCTGACAGGGATACATGGGCTTGAAGAAAAGTACGCCTCACTCCCTTTTTATACACCCGATTTTGTTAGAAATCAGTATTCACTCAATTCGGGGACTCACAATCAATGGGTACCTTGTTGGGTATGCCTCATTTATTTCCTGTATTGAAAATCAGTAATCTTATTTTATCATGTTTAGTTGTTCCATTTTAGTTTGGCTCTGACAATCTGTGCATGCTGCTCTTTTAGAATCTACTGATATAGTTATAATGTTATAGGATCAGTCTTTTTTTATGTATTGTGTTAACTTGGTTTAGACAGTTAATTGCAACTAAACCTTATGACATCTACATGACTACAATGTTGCTGTTGGTTGCTTTGAATAGGACTGGGTTATGGAACAATGGGACAACGGCTTTGAGAGGCCAAGTAAAGTACAAGAAGTCACTCTGCATATGATACTCACTCTTCCACATACTCTGCCTGTGATAGACATTTTGCACAAATTTTATTTTGATGTTGTATCATTATCCAAAATGTGTTGCCTTTTTTAAACCTTTGCAATATGTATGCTGCATTAAGTTGCTCCACTAATATTTAAGTAAATATTAAGTTATTATATGATATTAATATTTTGAATATATGATTTGTTTTTGTTTCGTGATTAATATTTTATATTTGAAATAAATTTTAATTATTAAATATGGGTGCTTATGATTTAGAGAGACAACATAAAATAACTGCATTTGAATAAACAATTTGACCACTGTTCAACTTGATAGGTTTTCTTTTAAGCAGTTGTCTGATAACCAATAAGATTACTACGCAAACGTATAGTTTGAATATTTCAAAGACCACTAAGCAAAATCATAGTGTTAATAATCAGTATACAACAAAAACAAATAGTTGTTTAAAATAAGACCAAAGTAGTAGTCTTAATTTGTACATACAATACAAAATAACAGTTGTTTGATGAAAATATTTGTAGTGGTCTTCCGAGCAGCTGTCTGATAATCAATTACACTACTGTTCAAAAATATAGTTTGAATATTTTAAGGACAATTGCAAAAAAGCGTAGTGTTATTGTGCGCTATACAATTGAAAAAAACGGTTGTTTAACATACAACAAAATTAGTAGTCTATATTTTAGAAATATAACACTAGATAACAGTTGTTTGATACTATTTTTGTTTAGTAGTCTTCCGAGCAACAGTCTGATATTTATTTCAACTACTTTAAAAATTAGATATCTATACTTTTGACCGACAACACCAAATAATAGGAGTCTGAAGTTGAACACAACAGTAGTATATATTATCGATAGACAACAAAAAATCACAATTGTCTTTAACTCAAGAAAACAGATGTCTTACTCATACGAGGACAACTTCAAAAACATGTACTCTGAAAAATCACAAAATAGGTGTCGTCAACCGTATTACACAATTGTTTTTAAACTGTAGTCTGTAAATATATCAGACAGCTGCTCGGAAGACTACTGAAACCAACACAGTTAGACAACTAAAAGAAACAGTTGTGAGCATCTATTTTTGACGTAGTGACTACAAATGACACACCCGGTCAAGGTGGTTCAATCTACAAAACATCCACTTGAACTGGTGCACATGGACTTGTTTGGGCTAATGCAAACTGAGAGCATCAGAGGGAAACTGAAGAGTTGTATTATTTGATGATCATTACAAGTAAATCACCTCGCCTTATATACATGTAGGAGGTATATTGGAAAGGAAACAATAATGAATGCAAATCCTATACAATCAAGGAATCTACCAAATATAACAATAATATTAAATATGTGATATATACTTTACATATTTAACATGCTACCAGCTCCGTTGGTGAGCTGCGTACTCCGAGATTCTGTCTGAAGTCGGTGAAGAGAAGTGATGGTAATCCTTTCGTAAAGATGTCGGCATACTGCAAGGAAGATGGTACATGAAGAACACGAACATGTCCTAAAGCGACCTTGTCTTGGACAAAGTGAATATCAACTTCCACATGCTTGGTGCGTTGGTGCTGGACAGGGTTGGAGGATAAATAGACGGCACTGACATTATCACAAAAGATGACAGTGGTGCGGCGCAGTGGTTGATGAAGCTCAAGAAGTAAATTGCGTATCCAACTGGTTTCTGCCACGGCATTTGCAACCGCCCTGTATTCAGCCTCGGCACTTGATCTGGAGGTGGTTTGTTGCCTTTTGGAGGACCATGAGACCAAGTTGTCCCCTAGGAAAACACAGTAGCCAGAGGTGGAGCGGCGTGTGTTCGGACACCCAGCCCAGTCAGCATCGGAATAGGCCCGAAGAAAGTCTGGCGAGGAACGAGTGAGAGTGATCCCATGAGTGGTGGTACCGTGAAGATAGCGCAGGACCCGTTTTAAAGCTGTGAGGTGGGTGGTCCGTGGCGAGTGGAGGTAGAGACAGAGTTGCTGAACTGCATAGGTAAGATCCGGCCTGGTGAATGTGAGATACTGGAGGGCTCCTACAAGAGAGCGATAGAGGGACGGATCGGCAACAGGTTCGCCTGAGGTGGCAGACATTTTCCCTTTTGAGTCAACAGGAGTGGAGATGAGCTTACAATGAAGCATGCCTGCTTTGTCCAGAATATCATGAGCAAACTGAGTTTGGTGTAAGAATAGGCCTTCCTTGGTGCGCTGAACATTGATCCCGAGAAAGAAGTGTAGTTCTCCCATATCCGTCATAGCAAACTTGGTCTTCAGGCGATCCATGATCTGAGAGAGAAGGGTGGAGGATGAGGCGGTGAGAACAATGTCATCAACATATAGGAGTAGATAGGCCATGTGCATCCCATGAGAGTAAACAAACAGAGAGGTATCCGTCTTGCACCCCTGAAACCCAATGTGCTGAAGAAAGCCGGCAAATCGCTGGTACCAAGATCGAGGGGCTTGTTTTAAGCCATAGAGTGCTTTCTTGAATTTGCAGACGTAGTGGGACCGGGACGGATCTTCAAAACCGGATGGCTGGCTGGCATAAACAGTCTCCTGAAGATGTCCATGAAGGAAAGCATTTTTGACGTCCAGCTGATGAACGTGCCAACCTCAAGACAGGGCTAGACTGAGAACAATGCGAATGGTGGCTGGCTTAATGACCGGATTGAATGTTTCGCTGTAGTCAACGCCATAACGCTGATTAAACCCACGGACTACCCAACGAGCTTTGTACCTGGACAAATCCCCTGTAGGACCAAATTTGTGACGGAATAGCCACTTCCCTGAGATAACATTTTGGGTGGGGGAGGGGGGTACTAGTTCCCATGTATTATTGCGAATCAAAGCCATAAATTCATCACACATTGCATCATACCAGTTGGGATCTTTAAGTGCTCTACGGTAGGTAGGAGGAAGGGGGGAAATATGGCCGGTGGTATTGAGATTGAGGATTTGTTTGGGACGTGTTATTCCGGATTTGGAACGGGTT